CACTATCTGTATCGATCAGTTGTTGGAATCTGTTCAAGTGAACCATTCAAATTTCAGTATCAATTGTTTCTCAACTACATTATGTTCAATTTCGATGCAAGTTCTCTAATGTATCGTTACATTGATCGTCTAATTAAAAATTAGATACAAATCCATGAAGAATCAGAATTTGTATTTCTAATTACCAAGATGTTGATTCCAATCTTCAACGAGATCAGCTATTCAATATACAATTCTAGTATATGTATACTTCGAAGACTAGATCGATAGACTTGCCATCAGTCATTTTCTTATTTTGCACCAATTTCGTTTAATAATCGCGATTCGCAATCGATCATAATCATTCCCTAATTTTAATTTATTCCCTATTTTACATCATTATTATAATACCTACTGTACATCTTATATTTTTCAGAGCAATCGTGGTATAGTTGATTGACAAATACATTTGTAGACTTCGTACATGAATAACATATTTTCTTATAGCCGTTTTCGATCCGATATCATAATATCCCTGCTGAATTAAAAATTGTTTATCTGTTTGACAAAACAGAAATGTCTACGCAAAAAAAGTAACGTGATCCTTAAAACGATTATCAATTTTTTGTAAAACGTGAAGTCATAAAAATGTGTTAATTAACATGAATTGCGTTGTATCATTTCAGATAATTGACAAGGAATTTTAAAAGGACTAAATAGTGTATGACTCTGTTTAACCGTGTTTTAGATATAGTATCAAATTTCAAATTCATCCACCATCTAAATTCAATGACCTTAGATAAGATCTATGCAGATAATTATTTCGTTCCGTTCTTTTTTCAGTAGTAATCGTTGTATGTGTAGTACTAACTACCTCTACCAATCAAAAGTAGGATTCATTAGAATCGTTATAAATCTGTGATGTTCCAAAAATTAAATCTGAAAATGTCAAAGCGCAGCGTCGTTCGTTTCTATGATAAAAAAAAAAACGATTTGTTTAAGAATACTTGAACACATGAAAGTCTGTTTCTACAGTGAGTATGTTCAGTTTCAGTGTGCGTAATATAGTAGATCCGCTGGATGCTGCATGAGAGACTTCAGAGTCATAAGCAATAAAAAAACTATTACACTACAAAACTGTCTATGCTCGTAAATAATGTAAAAAGTATTATTTAGAAGTCATAGAGAGCTCAGATTTTGTTTCTACTATGTTTCTGGAGTACAATATTCCAAGATTCCAATGAAATACTATTTCTACAAGTAAATTCAATTGATTGAAAAGAAGTACATTTGTATAATTCGAGTCTTTCGAGCTAAGCATAAATCTATACATGAATTTACGTTACATAAAATCTTCAGGTACATACTTCTCAGCCATTGTTCTTCTTTACCAACGTTCCTAGTACCCGTGGTAAGCACAGCGGGCATAATATTTCCGGTTTCGAGGTCTGAGACAACATTTTTCCTAAGTACTGTGCTGTACATGGAAGAACCATCGAGTCGGACGTGAGCAACTCTGTTTCCATCGTCGGAATCACTTCTGCTTCGTACGTGGCCATTGGAAAATGATGACCACACGTGAATATCATTGTATCTTCTTCTGTTGCTAGGAATCTGTACACACCTTCCGGGTCCTGATTCAAAAATCTTCATTTATAGATAGTTGTAGATTGATGAAAAATAGTATATGGATTAAAGTAATAAAGTCGCAAGGTCATTTCAAAGACAAATATTAAACTTATACATTTATGATATTAAAATGAAAATATCGCATTCTATTTAAGAATTGTGAGATGACCTTAGCATGACCTTGAAGAACGGATAAATCTTTCTCAGTCACCTTTATGTGTACAAATGACCTAGAGTCATGAGTTTCAAAGGACATAGTGCTTATAACACCTTCCATCATCTGCTTCGACGTGTTGTTTGCGCTTGAGCCGGGGTATCCAGTCAGTGGAGGTCCGTAATGATCAGCCGTTAATGAAGACAGTAGCTTAATGAACTCGGGAGTAGGTTGATCTGCAATGTAAGGCATATTAGGTCAAACTGAAACTAACTTTCGTTTTTATTTTCTTCGATTTACCTTGACCGATATGATGTAATAACAAGGAACACACTTGGAGACAGAATTTAGAAGAGAAGTAATTCATTACTGTGAAGCCCTTAACTTCCGTGTCGTTCTTGTTAGTATCCAAGTATTTTTCCATTACCTCTTGACTGTCAAAGCATTTTGAATTATTAATAAGAGTATCAGAATATTATGAAAATTATTTGCATCTTACTATTCCTACCAGAACAACAACAATCCAAGCGAATAAAAGATTGAGTCGATATGATCCAAGAAAACGTTTTCTATGCAGTGTATCGGCAACTCATGTTCTATCCAGAAATCAAGGATATCCTGTAGTAGTTTACATTTCAATGTATCTGTCTCGTTCTCCATTTCGTTCAAGAAGAATTTGACTACTTTCACAGCTTCGTTGGTTACATTATCTAGTCTAGAACTGGACGTCTTCTTTTCATGATCATTTTCTTTTCTGTTTTTCTGACACATTTGATCTTGATCAACATTTTCTCGAGCAGGTGTAGATGGTAACGAAGAATCTCTCATGGATCCAGTTTCCTCCCCTTTAGAAATAATATTCTCCATCCATTCCTCAGAGTCAGAACCAACATCCGAGCCATAAGTGTCCTCGAAGATACCTATAGGTGCATTATCACATTTCATTTCCCTGCATAATTCTTCCGAACCACCCTGGCAATCAAAAGTGTACAATTCTTGCTGCAATAACTGTAGACTATTCAGAGATTTACTCGCGGGAATTTTCATCTTGTCTTTAGCAGCACAGTCCTCCACGGAATCAATTAAATTCTTCTCCACCTGTTTATTAAAGAGTTCAGTGTTCTTCTTAACGTGGCGATTCAATGAAGACTTTCTTTTTCTGTCGGAGCTCTCTTCAGTCCTATCCTCAGACTTGTTGCATATACTATCACACGACTTTTCTCTTGAGCAAGACTGCAAGTTCAACGTATGCAGTATTTTTAATTGAAATGAAAGTGCATCGGAAATGTTGTGCTGAAGCATGGCTATCTTTGAACAAGCCTGATAATTTCCCAACTCTATGGACTGAAAATCAAATTTTAGAAATTCAGCTGGATATGTCCGGAAAATTATGTAAACTAAAAGACCAACCTTGTCCATAATTTTAGAAGAGTCGTACAGACCACAAAAATATTCTAACGCATAATGCAGTGTCTGTTCACCCAGTGATCTTTCAATAACACTCAAAGGGCGAACCATACCCGCAAGAGAGGGCAAGTCGTAACTCTGGTAGGAGATTATGGGAGCAGGGATACTAGGAACTTGACTAGGCACGTCCAATGCAACATGCGTGGTATTAGGAACCCTCACAACCCTCTTCTTGATTAAAACAAGCTTATCGTCGTTGTCACGAGTATCTTTTGGTGGAAGGCGACCTAACTGTGCTCTTCTATTGTTGCCCCAAGCCAGAACTGTGCCTCCTGAAAACCATACTCAGTATAATACTTAAATGTACAATAAGTCTCATTCTACAAAATGTAAAATGTGTAGAAGTTTTTTACCCGGTTGAATTGCAACAGTATAATCATATCCGCAACAGACTCCTACAGTTTTAATCACGGGATTCTCTCTCTCTTTAGATTCGTTACTCTCTGATTGATACGATTTAACCTCGCCATTCATATTTCCATTTCTATCGTTGCTTGCTTCCACTAATTCTTGATCTTCATCTCTTCGTTCGTAAGCATTATGTCTAGGAGGTACTTGTGCGAAGATAGAAGCAGGGTTGTAAGAAAGAGGAGTTGGGATCAGCACTTCTCTTTTGGTGCCATTGCCTATCTGACCATCCAAATTTCTACCCCATGCGTACAGGGAACCATCCTTTGTCACAAGAGCGTTGTGATGACAACCAGTCGATATCTATTGTAATAAAATAGTATTATTCTCCTTTAACTGCTAATTATTTATTTACTAAGGTATACCGACCTGCACAATATCTCCTCTCACTAAACTGGTATCTACTACAGTCGGCTTTAAATGCGCTTGGTTCTCCTCCAATGACCCCATATCGACGTTTTTCAAACACATATCTAACTGTTTCATTCTAGAATCCATGGTGCTCCTTGGTTGTGCATTTTTATTTTGTGCATTACTGTCCAAAGCATCCTCATTGGTGTCACCTCCATGATCTACTTTTTCAAACTCATCGATGCTTTCAAATTGCTTCACGATCGCATTTCGTTGCTCCAATATCCGAGTTCTCTTTTGCGTTTGTGCTTGCAGACGAAGAACTTGAGGACTTGCGCCCCATATGTACAATCTATTTGTATGACTAACGGCAAGCTAAAAAATTCAATATGTAAAATAATGCATTCATAAAATTGTTTCACATCAGATGCGGCTTACATTGTGAAAGTACCCAGTCGCAATGAGAGATATCTTCTCTGGTAACAAAACTTTCATTGGCACAGAACTTTTAATATTACTCCCTACGCCTAATTGTCCAAACACATTGCAACCAAAAGCATACACGACACTCTCCGTCGAAAGTGCCAATGTATGCGCATGGCCAGCGCTAATACTGCGTACAACTACACCAAGTAATGCTGTCACCAATGTGGGGGTCAATTTCTCATCGGTTGTGCCGTGCCCCAGTTGTCCATGGACACCCCAACCCCATGTGAACACTCTGCCATCAGAGGTTAACGCCACAGAGTGGTATTGTCCGGCAACTGCGTCGACAATGATCTCTTGAGCTAAGGTTGTGACCAATTCCGGATTCGAAGACTGCAGAATTTTCCCTAATCCTAACTGTCCGAACTGACTTGATCCCCAAGCGTAAACACCATTATTGGTTACTGCCAGTGTATGGCAGTGGCCACAGGAAACACTAAACACCTCTAGTTCCATGCTTCGGAAAAAAGGTATTGACTGAGGTGTACCATACCTCAACAAAGATGGACCGGTTCCTAATACACGTAAAAGATAAAAATGTAATATACAGAGTGCGTCAGTTACATCAACAATAAATGAGAATTTACCTAAACATCCCTGTACGGAACTACCCCATGTATACACATTCCCGTTTCTAATGAGACCAACGTGACAAAATCCAGCGCAGAGCGACCTTCTCTTGAAATCCGCGATGCAATTAGATCTGTTTTGATCCTGTTTTCAAAAAAAATATTGAGTTTTAAAGCTTCAATAGTGTGCTACATTCTTAAGCTTACTTACCTTCTTGTGTAGTAGCAGTTCTGTGTTGCACGTGACGAACGGCTCCTGATGCAGAATGGACTTTTTACAGATTAAAGTCAATAAAATGAGTAAAAAAGTTTCTATGATTTCCTCTACCAATGCATCAGCCTCTTCCTATGAAAGGATAAAAGTACATGTAATTATTGTACATAATTTTAAAGACAATATTATACTTACATTTTCTACGAGATCAATAGAATCACATTGACTAGATTGTGAGCTGTGTGAGGTGGTTCTATGTCGCAGTCTGCAGTGTACTATTCTAGGTCTTATCACTGGATTCGTTGGATCATATAGTGTCACTAATCTCTAATAGTTAACAATAAGTGATGAAATATTAATAAAAAGTCAAATAAAAATTATCGAGGACGAATATATAAATAATCAAATGTTTACCTGAAGTACAAAAATTTGAGAGTCTTGAAGATTATCAAGAATAAAGGACATGTGACTTCTAGCTAACTCGGGATTTACTAACATGGCTTGCATCAAACTCGGTTCACTTACGCATATTAATAAACCATCTAAAAATAATAAACATAAGTATACAGCCATGCAGACTGTGTCTAAAGTGAATAATAATATATTATAATATACATTACATGATGTTGGATGAAAATTGTTTGCACTGAAAGAATGTATTGTCTTCATGAGCACTTCCAACATTTGTCCATAAAGACACTTCTGCGTTGCTAAGTGATGCAACACCTCCCATAAACATGTTTGACCGGCAATATTAATTGCCAACAATTCATCGTAGAAGGAATTCGTCGACAGGAAATACCTGCATTTCAAATAGGTTCTTTTTAGATACACTGACCGGAACAATATACGTATAGATTAATGTAAAACTTACAAAAATTCTTTATAAATAATTCTAGACTTTTGAGCTGGAACTCTGAGCGTCATTTCAATAAAGGCAAGAACACATAAATTAGAAAGGTGAATTCTCGTTGTAACAGGCAATTTACTGCTAGTTGGAGATGCTAAACAGTGTGTAAGGCAACTTAATAGGTCAGCTGTGTAGCCAGCAGATGCACATTTTAGAACGCTCTTCAATAGTCTGCACTAAAAAAAAAAAATAAATTTGTAAATTAATCATTTTCTTCTCCCAATATGATTTGCATTATATGTATATACTTACTTTAGACAATTTGTAGCAAGCTACAGCTCGCGACGATTGTTTGTTCGATAGCAAAATATCGCCGGCTTGCTCTAATAGCAGCTGTGCATTAATACCAAACACTATTGCCAATTTTATCGCTTTTTCGGGATCATTATCTTTCAGAACTAATTCCATAAAAACCGATAAAATCGACTTCCTGTAAAAATACATTCATTTAGAATTTTCTATCAGAAAAATAACGTACACAAACAAGTCGATACCAACCTCAGAACAACTTTGTACACAGAATGATTTGTTACAATTATGCAAGTATCCACATGAGGTAATTCGATTTCAATATCTTTTACACCCTTTGGTAACGTGTATTTGTTTCTAGTATCCCGAGTGGTTGGTTTATTTGTATAATCAATAGCTCTGTACACAGCAAGTATCACTTCTTTACTATTCACTAAAGAAAAGTGACCAACAATGCACTCCGGATTAAATTTACAATTATCATTTGTACGTGTTTCAGATAACCTGTCTGATATTACATACATTACACGCTGACTGACGTCAGTAATAAAGAAAAAGCGTTGAGTTAATAAAACATTTCTACAAGATTCAAATACTTTATGCACTGATAAAGGTACAGTAGAAAAGTCAGGTCCATGTATCTGTAATCAAACAGTTGTTCGAATATACTGCTTATCATACATATCAAATTACAAATTTTTATCAGTGATCTCTTACTGTTATGTGATTTGTGATAGAATGGTAACACGTGTACAGCTGTTGGCCCTCCCTATCAGACTGGGACATGAGAAAAGTTTCCCTTGATATTGGTTCTGGAGTCATTTGATTCTGATTTACTTCTATGGATGTGTCAATATTTGCATTGTGATTATGTCGATTGCTTGTGATATCTGTAAAATGAAGAGGGTGGGTAAATCGAATATTCCTTGCTTTCTGAACCAACCAAAAATGAAATTATAAATGTTCACCTAAAGTCTGATTTTTTGTTTCAAGTATCTTCTGCCTAAGTAATGCAATTTTCTCCACTGACAACTGTTTAAGTCCTTGCAATCTAGATCTCGTAGCAGCAAATGATCTTGTATTGTCATAGATCGTATCATTTGTGTGCAATGTATTGTAGGAGTCTCTAATTTCTAAGTGGCTCAAACAGCTATATGTGTGCTGTTCCAAAAACAGTCTCCACTGCCGTTTAGACTGACTTGTTATTAAAAGAGAAACGCTATCATTACTTTTGTCATGACATATATGAAGACTAATGATATTCCCATTAATATGAGTAACATTTGCTTGATAACCAGTCTCAAGATTGATGAATATTATCTCTCCATATTCAGTGCCAATAATTCCAATTTCAGCAGGTGTTACAGGATCCTGCCACCACACTATAGCAGTAGGTCTAAACAGATCAAATAATTAACATACTGAAACAGATGCTACATCAAATTATATATTCATTATAGATATATACTTTGAATGAGATGATTGTGAGCTAATCGAAGGGAAAGATGTTATATCATCACTGGTCCATCTTTTATCTGTGTCACAAATCTCCTCAACCAAACACAAAGCAGGAATTATATATACAGATCCATCGACACTTGTACAAAGCAACCATGTTCCCAAAGAATGAAAACATAAAGCTGAGATCTGCTTATGAGAGCCTTGGAACCAAGGAATCCTTTTAATTATTGGATTAGAAGCAGAGTCTTTCTTGTAGTACAAAAAAATTTCTGCATTGCCAGTCGTAAATGCCAAAAATAATTTCTTTCCATATTCACATTGAGCACTCTGCTGTATTTCTGTTGCTTTCATCAAACATTGCAACTTGAACAGGCTTTCTTCATTTAAACTTGTCATTGGCTGATAGCCCTCAGTTCCTACTTCTGAAATCATTATGCTTGTGGCAACTGATCTATCCAAAAACTACCTGTAACACAACACATATAATATTTAATTCCATGTGATCTACAAATACCAAATTTCAAATTCATCCAATTAAAAATTGTTTGAAATCCGATCTAGCCGTTCGAATTTTCGTACAAACACATTACAAATCTTTAAGGATTTCTAAATATATGTACTTCGAAAAATGATTTGTAACCTTTGCCCGATGGGAAATGTAAAAAATTCACATGAAAAACGTTATAAGTTACCTGCTCTTATCGTCGCGTAACATAACTATTCAAATATAGCGAATATTGTGTGTCGCTGCAGCTGTGTTTATATTGTTGAAAAAATAATATAGTTTGTCGGAAGAACAGAGCTTCGTCTCCGAAGAAATTCTTGTTGTGCTAAAAATAAATTATTGCAAAAGTAACCTAAGCGCGTCCCATCGCACATTCCGCTAGAACGTGCTGTTCTTTTGTGTAGAACAAATAAGAACAATCAATTATTCACCGAGCATTACATCTTTTACAATAACACTGCCATCAAATTCCCAAACGTCAGAATATCAAGGTTAGATTACATATAATCACCGGCGCTGCCACAATAAGAGAGCCAACGTCACCAGCTTGTTGCATCCAATTTCAAAACTGACATTTTTACACACCAACGTTACTAGCTATCCACTACACTGCGCTCAAACTAGAATAAGTATTAATTATTATATCGATCCACTTTTTTACTATCTTTTAACGTTACTTGTATTCAATTTACAAAGCAATGGCGCAAAATGTTAATCGTATTTTTTGTGCATGCACTTCTTCGTTTCAAGCGCCACCTGACATTTGAGTCATAGATCTTATATTACAGACGAGGCCTATGCTGTAGCTTATGTAGTTCTCTTTAGCAGAGGGCGCAAGAAAATTTTGGTTTTAGGAATGTCGGTATTTCAGAACATGTGGCACGGAACCTCATATAGAGTCCAGTCTACTCTGATACCTCGTCCATGCTTATAGTTCACTTTAGTGAACGAAGCGGAGGCAACCAGCTCAATAGCATGAAGCAGGTAGAGAAATCTGATTGGTTGATGCTTCACAGCTAAATAGGGCTGCATTCACGGTTCTAGATAAAGAGAGGAAGTGATGAATGAGCAAAAGAGTACGATATCAGCACAACACAAGCAAAACAAGTCACACCAACGACAAATATAGTTTATCTCACTTTATCGTGCTTGCGTTCTCACTCTTTTCGCGCATCCATATGGCTGATGCACCATCTGAAACACGTGACGCGATATTCTACTTGTACTTTTCGCTCTATACGATTCTCGACCACACAGTCAAGCGTATTTACGAACATCTTGGAACGACGATCATTTCTACAATTATTAAAATTTTGGAAAACCCGTAAGCTACATTTTAGCTAATGAGATATTGCATGAAAAGTAAAAACATTAGAAAGTTCTAGTAATCCGTCTTAAAAGATAGAGGAGAGTTTTCCGAATGTAGTGGTATACAATTTGTTAATTGTTTTTAGTCCCAAATACATAGCTATAAATTAATGTAAAAGTTTAAAAAAGTGTTGACGGACGTAGTTTCTCCACAATATTTTTGTATTTTTACGCAAAATTCTTTGTCCAGCACGAAAACTCTACACATGATCGAATTCTGTAGACATTTCTGAATAAGAAACGACTTGATAGAAGTGTTGGTACGATTTACCTTTCGAGCAGGTAAAGAAAATGCTTTCCAGGTATCAAGGACCTGTCTCTTATACACATCTAGATGTGTATAAGAGACAGAAGTATTAGTACGATTTACCTTTCGAGCAGGTAAAGAAAATGCTTTCCAGGTATCAAGGATAGGTCATAAAAGTAGGGCTTAATTGAATTCTGTAGACATTTCTGAACAAGGAAGGACTTGATAGAAGTATTAGTACGATTTACCTTTCGAGCAGGTAAAGAAAATGCTTTCCAGGTATCAAGGACAGGTCATAAAAGTAGGGCTTAATTGCTTTTTCAATTTTACGATTCGTCTTAATGATGCTTAATGTCTCCTCTCCCCCGTTGCGGGTTCGGTACCTTTTCTTTCCCCTTTCTTATTTCCATCAATGTATGCTAATTGACCCATTCACTTTTACGACTTAATTATATTCCTAGTTTCGTTAATAGCTTCGATATATACGAAATTATCTGTTGCTTACGAAGCTCTTACTCGTAGAGTATAATATTGACTGTTGGCCGGGATGGCTTAATCTAAAAAATTCTGTAGATTCATACATTAAAAACCATTAGCTGTGAATGTAACTTACGGGTTTTCAAAAATTTTAATAATTATAATATACTTAATAAATAATTCTTAACTCTAATTCTACAAAACTCTGAGTTTGAACATTTTTTTGTAGGTAATTACTACATTAAATATATAGTCTTTCTAAGAAGATATGGATGCAAGTTTCAGCTTTGTTTTTCAAATTTTTAACAGTAAAAATCGTATAAAATTGCGAAATTATTCATTGGTTTCGAAAATCAACAGTAGAATATTCGTACAGTAGAATATTGATTGCTGATCGTCTCAGTTAAAAAGTACTGGGATAGCTGAATTAAAAAAATTTTGTTGGTTTATAAAGTAGAAATCATTAGCTAAAATGTAGCTTACAGGTTTTCCAAAATTTTAATAATTGTAGAAATGATCGTCGTTTCAAGACGTTCGCAAATACGCTGGACTGTGTGGTCGAGAATCATATAGAACGAAAAGTGCAATTCGAATATCGCGTCACGTGTTTCAGATGAAGCATCAGACATATGGATGCGCGAAAAGAGTGAGAACGCAAGCACGATAAAGCGAGCCGGCCTACGTTTCTCGTGTAAACACTCACACATAGAATCCGCTGGTTTAATTCTGTCTCTCTCGATTATCGCCCGTACTCCTTCTAAAGCAACTGCGCGAACCTGGATGCGCAGTAAAATGGTGGGGATAAAAGTGCTTACTATGGTGACGCATGATTGTATGTACATAAAAAGTGGATTCTAAATGTGAAGATACATCAGTCGCGTTGCTGTGCAGTGCCAGAGAAGACGTAAACGCGTTTTTGAATTGTTAGCTGAATTCAACACGTCTCGTTGTTTACTTTTTACACGGCTCTTAATTTAAAAAATAAGTTATAAGTCAGTGCGGAACGACTTTCTTGAAATCTATTATTTCAAAATTACGTTGGTTGTATATTTTTTACATCAATGGAGACCGTTCCGAAAGACTTACGAGGGTTAAGAGCATGTTTGGTTTGCTCTTTGATTAAGGTACGTCTACAATTTTACAGTACACTCTTTAGTTACACTCTTTAGTACATTTAATAAAATGTAATAATATTACGATTCCATTGTAGACGTTCGATCAATTCGAATTTGATGGTTGTGATAACTGTGATGAGTTCTTACGAATGAAAAATAATAAGGACAATGTTTTCGACTGTACAAGCTCTAATTTCGATGGGTATGTCATACAATAAATAATGATTGCAATCAATACTTTGTCACAATGTACTAATTTTTTAATATTCGTTACACGTTATTTTCAGCATGATAGCTGGTATGAGTCCGGAAGACAGTTGGGTATGCAAATGGCAAAGAATAAGTAAGCAACAAATTCATATCCATATACATTAAATTATGTTTAAGCGAGAGAAATATTGTTACTCTTTATTCTTGTACACCTTTATAAAATTATAACAGTTACATTGCCTTATAGTAAATCAATATAAACTGTTATCTCTTTCATCCTACATTATTTTGACATTCAAAATTTTGTGTTTAACATTTAAGCCCTTAATGTGTTGAATTTCTCTTGTTCTCTAATTATCCACTTTGGCAGTGCAAATTACAACAATAGTAAACCATGTTTTCATTAAGTTTGTGTATGTATTTGAAGGCAGCATTTTGTACAAGTTTCAAAGCCAATATTTTTGATATAAACAATGTAGCTAATACAAAACAATGCAATACGCATATTCATAATTGAATAAGTTCCTTTGCTTTTGAGATTCTTAATGTTAAATACTATTGTACATTTATACAGAATTTTGCTAATATGTATGACAATATGTATAGTTATTAAGGAACATGCCCATGTGCGTACACCTGATTCTATTTTTAATGTGTATTAATGTATATTCCTCAATCTTGTTTCTTTCTTTACACATTGCTTTTTTTTGTTTTATAATTAAATTAAAATGACTTGATCAATAGAACCCCTTGCTAATTACAAAAGCTTGTTCTTGCAACTGAGATTCTTTGTATTTTTACAGATCGATTCTGCAAAGGAGTATATGCAATATCGGTATCAGGACGATTGCCAGCAGGTGTTATTAGAGAGATGAAAAGCAGGGGAATAGTATATAGACCACGTGATACGAGTCAACGATAATTTTGAACTTGTAAATGTAAGATCACTACTATATTTTTACTGTGTAATATTATATAATAGAATAATATTTTAATTTTAATATCGTTCCTTCGAAATTCACTAAGAATTCAATAAGACTCTCTCGAAAATATTAACTCGATTTGATTGATATGAACTTTTGTTCAGGTTTTAAGAGCTTAACCTTCTTTTGACTACACTTATAACTTTATAAGACGTTTCCGAGACTTTTTTTATCTATTCAAAAGGAATATAATATATGCATATTAATATATCCTTCTAGTCTTATCACTGCCTGTACAATAATATCTTTAATAGACTAGTCTGTAAGGTCTTGAAAATTTTCAGATTTTAAGAATATATACAGTTCGTAAGGAATCCATTATTTTTTCTACTATTAGTCTGTTATTTTCTACAAATTCCTCATGTAATAACTGGCTAAGTGTACATTTAAAAATTTCTGAACTTAAGTTCTTGTTTTTCCGCAGATCAGTATCAAATGTGATTGTTACCTGGACAAATGTTTGAGTGGATATAGAAAGACGGATGTCGCATTACCGGTAGATGGCTGTTGACGCAGTTAAGCCATAAGTTTGCACAAGTTACATGATAATTATTTTCATTATACACTACCCTCCCACTAGTAATAACTGTTAAGCAAAGAGAACAACAAATGGCTTCTCCTTGATGCAAAGGCCAAGCTGGTAATTCTGTAACAATCTGGAATAATTGTAATTAACTTGTAAATTTTTATACAAAGTATAATAGTGAATAAAATATATATTTTTCTCAATAGTATTCTCACTAACCGGTATGTTTGTGTAAAATGGTTCCATCTCTGCCCAAATCCGATCAATATCCATTAGCAACTCATCAAATCCTATTATATTAATATCCATTTCTTTGTATGAAAAATTAACGCGTCTACAAACCGCTGCAACTTCGGCTAAGTCTATCGAGAAAGAACAAAAAAATATTACGCAATATTCTGTACTATTCTTATGCTTTTAATACGATGCTTACTGCAGAGAAAATTATATCCCTGTGCTGAATTTAGTACTTCGTGCAAAACAAGTTCCGAGCTAATATTTGTAAATATATTTGCTGCTACTTGTAACAATAGTACACAGCTTTCCATGTATTGCTTCCATTCCCAGTATTCTGACTATAGAAGCACATAGATTAAAAAACTGCGCAGCTTCTACTATTATTCACAAAATTTTTAATTATAACGAAAATTGTAATTACCTGATGTGTAGCTTCAACTACTGGTTCATCTTCTGCATTTGAAGGTAAGAAAGACTTAAGATCTAAACTAGGCACAGATCCTGATCGAGTTAGCACGTTTGGTGCGCCATTGATGAATTCTACACTATTAATTGATATGGCATCTTCCTTTTGAAGAGCTTTCCCTTAAAATCAAGCATTATCATTATTATCACCATCTTCTGTACATGATCGAAAACAATTAATGTTATAATTAAGAAAATATTATTTACCGATTTCTAATGAACGTTCTTCTACAGTATCCTCGAATTTCAGATTGTCAAATGATTCAGAGATCTCCGGAATAATATTGAAATCTGTTGTATTTGTATTACTGTTAGATTTTAACTCAAAATCTGTAAAGATGTCGGTATAATTTTCAGTATCTGTAATGTTTGAGACAGAAGCATTGTTAGCAGGTTGTTCTGCAGATACAAATTCTCCGAACTCATCTGTTGATTGATTGCTGTGGCTTGCGTTTAAATCTGATTCTACTGGCACAGTTGTTTCCTGAACCAATGCACGCAAGGCACTATACTTATCATCAGTAAGTTGGAGATTCATTAGGTCCTGTGGATTAGACCCAGATTTCCCCGATGAAACCTACAAAGTTTTAAATATTAGCAAAATAAATTATACAATTATAAATGAAATGGTATCCAAAAAATACATTACCTTCTCTGACCATTCTACTTTAGTTGGAACATCTTTGTCACTATTGAAATTTACAACTTCTGTGCTTTTTACATGATCTTTAACATTTTCACTATGGTCCTTGGGCGGATCATTGTTTCTTATCACTGTATCCTTAAGAATTACTGTCTTAGATTGATTCTTTATTGTACATTTAGGAAATAGTTCTGGTATACATTCCATAGTAGGCTGATCTTTGTTCTGAAGTGTTAAATTTAAAGGTGCAGTTGGAATTTTTGAATGAACAGCACTGTGTACAGACTTAGCATTTATATTATTTTTCTTGGGCTTTTCTACTGGTTTTTTAACACCTAAATTATGATTTGCCAGCCTGCTACCAATTGCAGAACCTTGTTTTGTATCCCATATGGGAACACTTGGAATGTTAGGAATCGGAGCACTCTGAAATTCAGAGAAATCATCGCATGGATCTGTCACGGACGAATGCTTAGAATCCAACTGGAACCGGTTCGTTGCTTGCTTTGTTTCTTTAAATGTATTATTTGTATCCCAAACAGTGGTAGAAGACATGTGAGATTTATTATCAAAAGAAGAAACTTTCCCAGGTACATTATTCATCATTTGCATATTTAAATCGGAAGATATGACACCATGTTGATGAAATTTTGTCTTTCCTTTAACTTCTGAAGGATATTTCCCATCTGAACCAATGAAGCTGACTTCTGTGCTATCATTAAGGCTTTGAAATTTAGCTGCAGAATTCAATTGTGTTACAGGCTGTAGATTCATTAAACATTCTATATTTAAATATGGAGTAGGTGGAAATGGAAGTAAATGTAATATATCCAGATTATTGAAAGTATAAGAAGCCTGTGCAGCTGCAACTAGAGCAAGAACAATATATAGTTCCTGCTCTGTAAGCTGACCAGCATATTTTTGATTTGCCAAGTTCCATATGTGCCCAAGAACTTCTGTAGGTAGCTGACTAGTGAGCAACAAGGGAAATACTTTGTTGGTATCGACAAGAAGCTCAGTTTGCATTCCATTGGACCTGACCTTCTCTTCTCGCACTGCTTCCCATACCATCTTATAGATCGGTGGTAAAGTAGTGGAGTTAGTCCACAGCCAAGTCGGCAATTGATTCAGTCTTTTGTCCATGTGAGCTTTATTCATGATCGATCAGTAATCCTTGGCCGAGTGATCGCTATGACGAGCTTAAATTACGTGAACTCGTCGAGGAGGATAATTTCATCCTTCAGCTTATTACCTTGGTACATACATCAACGTTAACACTGTAAACATTTCACTGATTTACAAGTGGATCTTTCGACATTCGCGCGTGTCACCCGCCGTTGAATCCACCGTGGACAATTCTCATCGTGAACAGTATCTGAAAATACGGTTACAGATTTTGATTATACACTGTAACCGAAATTATTTCCTCCCGAAACAACTGCGTGGCACAGAACTTGACAATTCAGATGTCAACGGATGACCACTGGACAACGTTCTCTTACGAAGGCTAATTGACGACAAGTGCGACAGAGTTTGTTCGAAATTAAGATTCAAGATGATTCATGATCCAATATGATGTTAATTTTGAAAGCTACTATATTTAACTGTTAATAAAACCATATTTGTTATTGTTTTCTAAGTTAAAATTCATTTTATAAAATATATAATGTCCAATA